AGCTATGCTGTGAGGGAGAGACAGACCATGGAGCTGGGATAACCAGGTAATTCTCGTACTGTCCTGGCATGTTCTCTGTCCTCACCCCTCACGCTGCACCCCTGGACACTCACCAACTTGCCCCACATACGTGCACTCCTGCTTCTCCCATGTGTATACGTGTGCCCCTCTTCCCTTCCTTCTTCCTGCTGCTGCCCAGCCCAGTGGCCTGTGAAGGAGGGGGTCTCGTGCTGTCCCTCTTGTTCCCTTTCTTCACATCCCTGCTGCAGCCATGTTTACTCCACAGTTTGGGTGACTTGGATTTGGGTAGGTCAGAGGAGTTTGGCAGCTAGAAAGTAGTCGGGTCCGGGTGGTCTGAACAAAGGGTTGGGACTGGGGAACACCCTATAACTGTGTGGCTGGCAGTCTGGAACTATCCAGGCTCACTCCAGCTGGGCAATGGGGAGGGTGAGGGTCCGGTTTGCATGCTGTCGGGTTGGGCACGTTCCATACCACCATGTGTGGCTCTCTGCTGGAGTAGTGGGAGCCCCACATGGAGGCATGGAGCTGGCCTGGCCTGATGTGGGCACGTTCCTGCCTACAGTGCTGGGAGCCCCATGTGTTGGCACGGAGCCAGTCTGGTCTGGCTCAAAAGCGCACGCCAGAGGACTAGGCCAGGCTGGCTTCGTGTGCTGTTGGTGGGCTCTCGCTGCTGTGGGCACCCCAAGGGTCTGCTGCTGCCGCCACTGGTGATGGAAAGGGTTGTGCACTGTGGTGGGGCTACACCCACTGATGATAAAACCCACACGTGTACGTACACACGCACACACACACACACACACACACACACACACACACACACACACGCCCCCCTGCAGGCAGGTCATCCCCTCCCCACTCACCAGCTCTGTCATCACACTTGGTGCCTCCACATGGGGCTTCCAGCTCGAGTGCCGGGAGCCCCATGGAGGCAGAGGCACAGAGCCTGCCTGGTCTGATGGCACATGAGCTCTGAAAGCCTGCCTCCCACTGGACTTCAGAGGGGCAGCTGTGGGCCAGTAATTGGGTTTTTTTTTTTTGGAGGGGCCCTCTGGGCTGGATAGAATGACCTGGTGTGCCAGATCCGGCCCATGGGTCATATTTTGCCTACCCCTGGGTTAAATGCATGCTGTCACAGTCAGGTTAATGCAGCCAAAAGCCAGGCATCCAGGAAAAGTCTATGACCCTCCCCCCTCCTCCCACCAGTGCTAACCAGCCTGTTAAACTTGGTGTGGAAGCAGCAGGGATGTGCCTAGGACATCAGCATCCTGCCAACTGCTGTGTCCTGATCCTGGGCACTCCTGTAATGGAAACATGACTGACACTAGACAGAGCATTTAGGGAGGCTATGAACTGCAGAGCCAGATGAAACGGGGCTCTTGAAATCTGAGCAAGAAGTTACATACCCAAAATTCAGCCTGAATGAGATCTGTGAGAAGGGTTCCCTGCCTGTGCTTAATAGTACCCATAGCACCCAGTCCCAGGTGAACACCCACCATGCACAGGCATTGCTTGTCCCCAGCACTCACCAAAGAGCAAGGTGAAGGCCAAAGCTAGGCAGCAGAGCAGTGAGCTGGAGAGCGGGTTCCCAGCCATGTCCTCAGATGCTGTCACTTGGGCAGTCCAAGCAGAAACTGCAGGAGGTGTGTGCTGTTTACCTTTTTGCTCAGGCAATGCAAACACCTGGTGTGAGGCTCTGACTCACACAACCTGAGGCCACCACTGATACTGGACTATGCAACAGTAACAGCAGAAAGGCCTCAGGGTCTTCATGGAGAGGCCAGCCCTCCCCATTCACAAGGAGCAACCCCTGCCCCTCCAAAACTCCCCCTGGCACAGTCAAGGGGGAGGTCTCAGCACTGACAGGAGGCTGGGTAGCAGGGGAACAGGGTGTGGGGCAGAGGTGGGCTTCTCAAAGGAAGGTCTTGGAATGAAGCTTGTGGTCGTTTCATCCCAGAGACTGGCACAAGCCTCAGGAGATGCTCCACCTGGCTTTTGCCAATGCACTGTGTGGGGAAGTTAGTCTGTAACAGGGCTCCAGAAACGGCTGCTGCAGCTTCTTAGACCCCACCAGTACAGGCAGCACCACTCAGATAAGTCATGAAAAGAGCTATACAGGAACAGGGCTAGTCAACATGACACAGTGGCCCTGTGATGGTTGACCTCCAAGTGAGGGGAGCTTTCCCAATGCAGCTGAGATCAGCCTGGTCAGGGTGGAAATCTTGGGGCTATAAATAATATTTGGGCATCCCGTCACTACAGCTGTAGATCTCCAAAATTAGACTAAGCATAGTAGGGTATAAGTAGTACTGAAATACCTGCCAGGGATACGAACAACAGATTCTTCTGCCAGGCTGTGGAGCAGGCTCCCATTGATGCCTGCCAGAACGGAGGTACTTGTGTTTCGAGTCCCAGGGCTATGATTTGGTAATGACTGATTCCCTGGAGCTATGAGGGGTCAAGTCCTGGCTGTGCTAGGGAAGAACATCCAGGGTTCCCTGTGCCCGATCTGGTCTAGAAAAATGGATGGGGCCGGCCCAGGGATGTAGGCTAGGGTGTTTATCAGGGCAAGGGCTTTAGTCATCTGTCTATTCTGCTCCTGACTCTAACTTGGCATTGGCTTTGGAAGCCAGGAGAAAGCCCTGAATCCTTGAAAGCATGAGGATTTAGCAGGGGACAATCAAACATGATACCAAAGTGCTCCATGGTGAGGACTCAACAGAGCCAAGCTGGGATGAGAGAGTGACTCAGTGGTGAAGCACTGATGCCAGTCAACAAGGTTTTATGTCCTCTGGACCAGGCAAATGGTGTTCACAGGTCCAAAAACTTGAACAAGCCTCCCTGAGAGCACTGGACTGGGGCTGGGAGCTGGCAACAGGAGTTTGAGAGCTTGGTTGAATGTACAACAGGAAGGCAAAGAGGTTCATTGGCATTTAAACATTGTTTTTCATTTTTCCAAAAAAATGAAGAAAACCAGACACTTCTGTTGTGTCTTATTGTGTTTTCCTTGCACTGTCCCTTGAAGGCCAAATCCCCCATGGTCAGCACCGCAGGGTTCAGTTGCTTTGTGGCAGTTTTGCAGCTCTGGGGACTCCATGTGCTCTGCCATGAGAAGCCAGAGGCTTTCTTGGTTCCTCTCCCTCCACAGGACTGGACTGGGTCAAGTCAGAGGCAGAGCAAGTATACTAACGGCAATTGTTAAGATCCACCTTGGATGTGATTCCAGAGAATTATAATAATAACTAACTGTTAGTTTGACCCAGGAGTGTCCAGAGTGTTGTTGCTGAACTCACAACATATCAACTTCCAATTCTGCATTTTGTTAAAGCCCCGATCTTCTATCTGGAAAAACCTGGATGTGAACGTTTCAAAAAGTCTTGGTTTTCCTGGGTTCAGCCCCTGTACTCATGCTAGTGCTGAGTGCAGTCGCATGGCAGCAGGAGCTACAAACATGACCCAGTCCTACTGCTCAGCACGCATGCATCAACAGGCCATGGGAGCCAGCAACACAGGAGAGCAATGCATTCTGGGCATGCTCATTACCTCCAAAGGTGTGAGGAGCAGCCAGCAGCTGGTTCTTTAACCACCCCTGTAATTACCACAAATTAAAGTTGTTGGTTTTGGCCACTAGGTGCAAGGCTTTTCACCAAGTCAAAAGGATTTTGCCCACCGATATATAAAATATTTCCTGACATATTGGGGTTGATCAGATGTAACATTCAAAAGTTCCCATGTTACTGGCAGATTGAGAAATGTTCCCGCATGGGGTGTGGGACCTCGTTTTGCTCAGCTGATGAAAGGGACACAAGTGGAACTTAAAACTCAGTGATTTTGTACAAGCCTGAAGCAGACACGGGTGTAAGGAGATTCACGTGACTAAAAATCACTTGGGTAAACCAGGAGCTCTCCTGGTGCTTTGCAAGTGCTGGGAGTCCTGTTCCTGCCTCAGGAAGGCCGATATGGAGAAGAAACTGGGCAGCAGGAGTAAGGGGACTGTGGCAGGAGGGACAACCCAGTACAGAAGTTATGAGAGAAGGTAAATGGGTAAATGAGGAGCCCAGTGAAGTGGCCTTTGAAGGAAGGAGTCAAATAAGGGAGGAAGAAAGAGCTAAAAGCTGCGAGTCGGACTGAAAGAGCCCAAGTGATACAAGCCTGCATAGAAGGGCAGGGAGGAGGGTGCTGGAAGTTGGGAGGGGGGCAGCAGGGTGGTATAGCCAGCTGAGGCTCAAAGCACAGGACAAATCAAACTGATATGGCAGGTTAGAAGACACACGCTGCCCCTCCCTGCACTGGTCCTGTTTGGAAAGAGAAGTGAGTTGGCATGACTCACTGATAGCCAGTAATATTTCCTATTCTACCAAAGCTCCTCTCAGCCCTCTGCCACCCCATCCCTTCCCCAGGGAGAGCTCAGAAGTCCAGATGCTCTTGGGGCAAGGAGGGGCAGTGCCTCTCATTGCAGAGGACCCTTGGTATGAGTGGAGCGGTATGGTGTGGTACTGCCAGAGGGGGACGAGCCTGAACCAGGCTGTATTTTGTTTGGAACATTCAAACTAGAAATTGTATCTGTGCTGTCTGTATTCATATCAAACCACCACACAACAATGAAACTACTGTCTTGGGGAGAGAGGTTTTGCATGCTTAGCTGGAGAGTTGTTTTTGTGCCACTCCGTAGTATTCAGAGGTTGGCCAGGGATGGGGCTGAGACTCAGAGCCCTGTATGGCCCTCGCTACACTTTCTGTGCCTCAGTTTTTCACACACACAATGAGATAATACAGCCCTACCTCTTGGGGGTGTTAAAAGTAGATGCACCCATGGAACGCTGTGGCGATGGGGCCACATGGATACCTAGACATAGGAACTGCAATATCTAGGGGTTTGCTGAACTCGAGGAGGCAGCTGGCTGATTTCATGGGCAAATCCTAGGGCTGGCTGCCATTTTTGCAGGCTGATCACATTGCACCTCGCCACCCCAGCCCTCCAATGCCTCTAATGGGCTGAAGGGGTCCCAGCAGTGCCACCCCTCCCTGCAGATTGCCAGGTGACCCAAAACTATATCTTAGTTGCCTACCATTAATGGCTTCAGTGGGCTTAGTCAGGGGATTAAGCCCACAGAAACCATTGGTATGTTATTAAGCAATCTAAGCATTTAATTACTCTAAACTGAAATGTGTTATGAAATTAAACCTATACACATGAATTGTAACTAATGCCAACTTTGTACACTTTAATAAAGTGTATGACATTGTAAAAAGGAATTTAATGCTAACCTTGAGACACAGGCAATTCATGCTATTAAATACTAGCATGCTGCATCCAGCAGTACTAGCTGCAGATATTCTCTGTCTCTGTGGGGTAAACACTTGTCCATACACTGAGATGACATGCTCAGCATCCACTGAGATCACTGGAACGGTGAAGCAGTGTTTTGCCAGGGCATAGAGATGTGGAAACCAGACACAGAGTCCCAAAGTACAGGCATCTAGTACTCTTTGACAAAGTTCATGTAAGCAGCGTGTTCATTGTTACGCTCTTTTCCCCCATCCAGAGATTGATTTCAGTAGTTGAGGGTCACAACTCAGAACAGGCACCTGCTTGGGGTCCAAAATGCAAACGGCACTAAGGAAGGAGGCAGCCGGTTGTCTGAACCACTGTAGCAGTGATGGGCTGTATCTCTAATACTGGTTCGGCTTCACTGCTATTGCCTGGAACAGTTCCTGTCTCCACTGCCTTTCATGAGGACAGCTTTACAGTTCTTGTGATGCCCTGTCTTTGACCCAGCTTATCAAATCTATCAACTTGTGTGTGTGGTGGATCACAGCCTGCTGGCCTTCAAACCACATGATAAGCTCCATGGACTAGGTGGCATTTTCAGCCACAAGTGTTACTTGATCTTGACTGTCATCCTACCTTAAGAGATCGTGATGCTTAAGCATGCACTGCATGCTGGGTGTGATTTCTAGCTCCTTGCTCTGAAACTACTGGTAGCACTGCATATGTTTGGAGTGGTAACAGCTCATGTTGAACCACAAATTCTACCTTGTGAGCACAGGCTCTGGTGGCAGCAGCATAGTGATATGTGAATCTTCAAGTTAACTGGCAACAGTCTCCCTGCACCAGACCTTACAGCCTGGATAATGCTTGAAGGCTTTCTTGAAGGTGGACACCAGGCTATACACCTCAGGGAACTGCATGCACCAGATGTCACTAAAGACAGAATGTGTGCATTGCAGGTGACATGAACTGCATTGCGCAGTATTCCTTGGAGCACACCAGCGAGCCTTGCACATGTCAGAGAGGACTGGTGAGATTTTGTTAAATTCTAAGCCATAGTTGACAATTACCTTCACTATGGCATGACACGTGGTAGAAAAACTGACAGATGTGAAGTGGACCAGCTCTGTTTGAAACATAGGCAGGTCCTGGTCTGTCCAGCACCCCCCAGCATAACTATGTGATACACATTTTATTTATCTTGAGGGTCAGTGGCTTCATCGGCCACAATGGACAAGGATTCATACTCCACCAATGCAGACTTTGTGGACTGTACATGCAACGCAATCACTGCAGGGAGATAGTTTTGGTGAAAATTGTTGGCCCACAGAAAACTGCCAGCATTTGGGATGTTTTTGTTCTGGTAGTCCCTTAACTTTGGGTGATCAAGTTTCTCCAGTGGGATGTTTGCTGAAAGCTGCCATGAAGGGAAATGCTGCCTCTCACCTTGCCAAGTTGCTTTCTGTGGTAGTTTTTAAAGACCAAGGACACAGTCAGTTGCCTCTTGCTCTGATCTTCAGCCTCTGTGGGAGCCTTTCACTTCATGTGAGCCATGGACTCTAAGTGTTGATCTCTGCTGGTTTTCCTTGACACAACCAGTCAGATTGCAGGCATTACAGAACAGTCTGCCTCCATCGGCATGCAAGGTCCCTGCAGTCTTGCACAGTCCAGCGCTGAAAAGTATGTGGCTTTCTTGGAGGATTTCTTCTCAGTCTTCATGCTGAATCCTTCTCAGGCTGCAGCATGCACACTCTGCCAACAAAACCAAAACCCTCTTGCTTCCCTGACTGGCTCCTGGACTGAGCCTACAGCCCCAGGCTCAGCCTCAGATTTACTTTCTCTTTGCCACCTGCTTTCCCGCTCTTC